ATAGATTATGCATACACAATATATATCATTATAGCCATCATAAATAAAAAAAGTGAAAAAATTGTTATTGTTGAACGAACGTCGTGTGTAAAGTAAATAATTAACAATTTCTCGTCGAATTCTTACTGTACACCAACAGTTCTCAATCTATGGGTACCCCCCACTAAAAAGGCGTGAAAAAATTTCAGGGGAAGTGTGAACATTTTTAAAAATCATAAAACATGAAAATTGAGTAAATACGACATTTTCTATTCACGCACACTTTCATAACTGTCGTAAAATATTAAAAAATATATTAAAGCTAAATAATGCTTTCTCTCTCAATAATTTATATTTAATAGTAATAAGTTTAAAATGTAATATAAAATTATAATATACTTTATATTAAAAATTACTTAACTTATCGATGGAATTTAAATTTATAAAATTTGAACTTACCACGTACGAGTTAATCTGTAAAGATATTTTTAAAATACGGATATAATAACAAGGACTTAAGATACAACAATTAAAAAATTTAAAAAATTTCTAATTGACCACTTTGAGACACAAAATTATTGTCATTGCTTATAGTTGCCTACTGACAATGTTAACGTCGAATACACATGGTGCTCCATTTTTTCTGTATACGTAAACAATATTATCCATAGATCAATAAAAAATCAGTTAATAAGCACATTTATTAAATCCAATATAACTTAAATATATATTTTGTGTTTTTTTTTTCAATCATTAGGACAATATTGTTGCGAATTTAAATTGTTTTGTATAACATTTTGTTTGCCAATATTTTACAAACGCAATAAGTGACAGATTTAATGAATAATGGACACTAAAAATATTTACTCAATACGACCAAACATTTTTAGCATTTTTATATTTATATATTTTCATATTTTTTTTTTTTTTATACCTACATAATTTCTAATAAGCTTATAAATTACACAAACATCAGGTCGATTATATTATTATAACTATTAACTTTTAACTATAATTAACTTCAAGCGATAAGATTATTAAATAATCAATAATATAAAATAAAATTTATGGTTATAGTATATATAATTTATTTTTTTACTTTATGTGGGACTCTTTTTAATGAATGAACATTATTTTTAACATCAATAAATTATTATGTGTAGATATTATATATATATATATATATATATATATATATATATAATTAATTAAACATACTCTATGCATATTTCAGGTTATCAAATTTATAGATAAAAAGTATGAAACCTTATGTTTTACAAATGTTGATTGCGAATATTACTCATATCATGTATATTGTGATACATACCAGGCACAGGAACTGAACCGAAAAGAACCGATTCTGGAACCGAACCTTTTAAATAATAGGAACCGATACCGGAACCGAAACCTTTATTTTGATAAATGAAGTACCGAAACCGAACAGGAATTTTTAAATTATTAAGGTTCTTGTAGGTTCCAAAATTAAATAGTTTTATTTAGCATAGATTATTTGTAGTTACTACTTTGTTTATAAATAATCAGGGATCCATTCTTATTATATTTATACCTAGAACTATACAAAGTTCTTATTCTTTACCTATTTAAAATGATATTTTTGAAGTGTTTATTACGTGTATATTTATCACAAAATAACATTATATAGAAATGTTTTTCCCAGTATATATCATAATTGGAATCTATATTATCTTCCAAATAAAGCGATGATATTCATAAAATAGACACACTACCCACTAGTTTAAATTGTAGTTCATAGTTTATTGACGATTGACGAGTATTGTAAATATTTTTTAACTACTGCTCCTATGGAGCAAAGGCTATTATTTATAGTTTAATTATTATTAAACTATTTATCGTATGCAATTTTTAATTTAAAATTTTATTATCTTCTAAATTCTGATAAATAACGATTTAGTTTTACCAGTTATAACAGATTTTATATCATTAGGGGGCAACGTTGTTGATTGTCAGCAATAGATATTAAAATAATTTTTCGTTTACTACTATACTACACTAAAAAGTGGACGATGGTACATTATAGTATATTCACTATTTTTTTTTTATTGATAAGAAATAATATTATATTTTACAGATAACAGGAACCGGTAACGAAATTATCTGGAACCTGTACCTTTATTAATTTTGATCATACGAACCGGAACAGCTATTTTATTTTCTGAGAACCAATACCGGAACCGATACTGATAAATTCAAACAGTTCCAGTCCGTGATACATATATTTAAAATAATATTATAACTCATTACTTTTTATATTAAAAAAATCAACTAAGCTTTTTAACAAAGTGGTGTTAAGTCAAATAAAAAAAGCATTAACAAAATTGTAGTCTAATAAAAAAATCATGAACAATTATATAATTTACAATGATGGTGACATCAGGGGCCGGAACTAGAAGGATGACGGGAATTCATCGCTGGACGAAACATTTTAGAGGTTGTAATTTTTGTATTACCATATAATCTTCTATTGACTACAGTTTGATATTTTTAACTTTGTTAATAATAATGTGTTTAAAACTCAATAAGTAGGTATGATTACTAATTAGAAAAAAATTGTAGGAAAGAGTATTTGATTTCTTGGTCTACACCTAATAGGGCGTGATTTTAACATTTTTACCGGACATAAGAATTTTTAATTTCGAATTTGGATGAAATTAAGATAATTGAATATTAGAGTTTAGTAAGTAGTTACTATTCAAATTTCGTATTATTCCATTCGAAATATTAGCGATAGGAATGAAATAAATAAAAATAGATAGTTTTTGATTGCGTTGAATTGAACACCGATGGTTAGAATTTTAAAGTTCTAACTTTATTTTAATAAGTTATTTAACTGCATATAATTTATCATTTTTGGTTTTATTATTTTATTTCGAATAGTAATATTATCAATTTTGAATTGTAAACTTTTATCATGATTTTTTTTCAGTTTATTTTTAATTTACGACGAAATAAAAGTTTTGTTAATTATCAAATAGTCAAAGAAACAAACAATTTTCATACACAAATAAACAGATAATATATGTTTGTAAAAAGAGTAATAATTTACGTTTTAAAATAATGTATAAGATAAGTTAAATATAATAATTAAGTTATTCTGCTTACTTACATTTATTTATTTTTAAATACATTTTATTAGGTTTTGGTATTTAAACATAAAATCTTAATTAATTAATTTTTAAACAGATAAGTATGATAACTATTTGTTATGTTTTAAGTTGAATAAACAAACATAGGTACATAATTTAAAATACCACTTACAACTCTATACGATGTAAGGTTTGAAATGATCAGTCCTAATAACTGTAATCGTTAGAGTAAATTAATATGAAATCAGGAAAAACATCATAATATTTTATACATCATTTTATCATCGCAAAGAAAAAATGGCTACTTTTTAAACTGTAGTTGATAACTACAACGAACGTGTGCGATGATAATTTTATGAAGTTTTATTTTTACGTTGTTTAATTTAAATAAAAATAATAGTATTTTTTTTTCAACGTGATACGTTCTTAATCTGAATACGCTTAGTTTTAGATAAATCGATGCTAAATCACAATAAAATAACTGAATTACACAATATCACGCGTCTAATATGTGATCGACTGGACACAAATTGTTAATAATAATATTTTCTGTCACGTGACTGGAGAAATTGAAAAATTATGATTTTTCAATTCCTGATAAATCAACGAGACTGTTTAATCAATTGCAATAGATTTTACAACATTTTAATCATTATTTAAATGTCCTGAATGTTCCAATAAATTAACACTAAAGACGTACATTTTTTTCGACATGAAATAATATTTTTTCAGGTATACCAAATAGTTTTATTGGCATAATTTTTGGTTTGCAATCACAATAAAATAAAAATTGAGCAATAACAATTTTGTTCTCAAGTTAAAGTCTACTGACCTTAGACAATAACGATTAAAAATCGGTTTTTGATAGTTTAGTTATTTTTACTCTCAACTGCAGTTATTTTAAGCCAATTCCTACGTTTTGTATTAATATTTTCGTTGGAGTAGGGCTTTCTATTTTTGTTTTGCCTACGAAAATTATAATAAGTTTTTACTGAAACATTAATTTTTAGTACTATTTTATTTATAAAACGGCTATAAAATTAATTTTTTTGTTTAAATGTTTAAATCGTATTCTGAAACCAATATTATCATGTATGTCGGAAATGATGTCATCTATACGTTGTACTTTTACAATAATTTAGTTTATATATGCTTTTAATTCAAATTTACCTTCTTCTAATAATCTAATAATTCATTAGTTTCTAACACTAGGAGTTAGAGTGGGAACAGGTAACAATCAATAAACAATTTACGTTAAATAAAAAAAAAAAATAATTATGAAATATAAACATTTTTATAGCTTATCTATATTTATATTCCATGAGTTTGTATAATTGATAGTTTTGATTAACAGAAAATATAATAAATGTGAACAACAACTATATTAAAATTTTCAATAATGGTAATGTTTCTACAGTATTAAATTATTAAAAGAAAAATGTTAAACTTACGTACTAATGAAATTTGACTGATGTTATTATTACATCATATACTTTCGTTTAATTTAATACCGTGGATATGTATTAAACTTATTTAATTTAACTGTGAAAATAAAATTTATTAGATTTAATAAATATTACCAACAATATTTATTAGGTATATATTTGATATATTTGATTTTTTTGTATCAAATGTATAATGTAACAAAAATTATACATAATATATTTATATAGTTTTTATAGTTAAACGTGTAATACGTATCATTTGACAAACTACAATATATAAACAAATAAATATATATTTATTATAATTTATACAACATTTTTATAGTTAATTTTCTTTTAAACAGAATAAATATCATATCCATTATAATACAACAAATATTATATATTCGATATATTATTATCCTTATTACATTTTACTGGTTTAAAATTTCTATATTTTTTTACTTAATTGTTTTTTATGGTTCAAGTTAGTTAACCGTAATTCCTCATATCGTTTTTTTGGAATCGAATTTTCTAATTGATAGTACTTAGAAATTAATTGTTCCTTGAGCATAGACACTCAACATTAAATATAGGACTAAAAGTATATGTAGAATAATTCATGTAGGTATTATATGTTGGCAATATGGTATTCTATTAATTCTTCGTTGATTTAATTGCGAGTGACTTCTTCAAATGTTTTTTTTATTTTATAGTCCCATTATTTTACAATATTACTGGTTCTGAAAATATATTCTATATCATACACATTGAATGTGCAATAATGAGTCCATTGTTTTCATCTAGTTGTACAGCCTATTTCCTTGGAGACTCCTCGTCAGCTCTTTTTAATAACAAAGTAAAAACAGATTCAAATATTACGATCAAATTAATAATTTAGTAAACACGCACTTTACCATAATGAATTGCAAACCATTAGAAGGGTTATGTAATGTTTTTTGTATAAATATTTTCTTCATTATATATATTTGTAGGGTCATATAATATTATAAAAAACTATTTTCCTCTAGAAATGTTTGGTTGGAGATGAATTAGTCGACTTATATTAATTCGACTGAATGAAGTTGTCGATAATTAAAACTAAAAATTGTTTAGTAGATGAACTTACCTATATTTCATTTATTTGTCGAACGAAGCAAATTTTATTCAACATTGTACTTGTATTTAATTTAATGTTTTAAATTGATGAGTGTCTGATTATCTATAATTATTAATTGAAACCTATGACGTCGATGTATTCAATATATATAAGAAAATGTAATTTTACATGTAGTATTTCTTAATTGTTCATGAATACGATTTAGCAATAAATATTGTATGTAGGTGATGTAGTAGAGCACTAGTTTATCGTTCAAGAATTTTAACTATATTTATTTTAGTTTATCAATTTATTATTAATTATTATAATCTCTAGTGTGATTTCAATTGGTCACCTATTTTACAGCATTTTGTTGGATGCTATATATGACTATAGTTTTATATATATATATATGCTAATTGACACCATAACTTTTCTGCCCTATCAGTTACCGTAAAGTCTCTCTACCCGTCCCAGTTGGCTACGTTGGGAAAATACTACTACTTGGTTCGAACCACTCCATCACCACAATACACCTGGTATGAATATATCCACTATAAAAACTATATGTAGAGATTTATTAAAAAAAAAAAAACAGATCCAACAGTTTTGAAATGTATCAAAACATGGATACTTGACCAAATTGTTGAATAAAATATCTACTGTTGTTGGTTTGAGGCCAAGGATCGATTGGCATCATTTTTCGAATCCATAATAATATTGTACGTAAAATTTAATATTCTAAGTATAAAATCATTCGATCAATGATTCTGTAATCTTGAAGCAATAATAGGTATTACTAATTTTAAATAAGTCTCAATCATAGCCAATAATAACTCCAACATTTCTATCATTTATAATTCAAACATTATCTGTATTATTCAACTATCTTTCTTAGGAATCAAATATTATAAGAGTCACTAGAAAATATAAATTGAATAGTCTTTATTAAATATGTAAACAATTCTTAAAAATAATATTTATGGGTAAAATTTAAATAACATAACTAAACATATATTGCAGTAACACAACTTTGAAAATAATAGTAATTAATTATAAAATTAATAAATTAATAATATCGTTAAATTTTAAATTTATGACTTAAAATCATTAAAATCATTTAAAATCAAAAACTATTATTACTGATTTGATACAAAAATAACTGTTAGAACACCTTTTCATCTCTGAGGTGGATAAAACATGGATCAGAATAAAAATTTCGGAAGATTGATTGAAGGTTAAAGGTTAGGTTGGGCTTTATTACATGCTCATCGTGATATAACAATAAAATTTGAGGATGTGATTGATGTATTTGACGAAATATAATAGATGACTAGACTTTGTAATTTATGTTTAATGGTTATGAATGTTTTTTTTATTTTTTTAATATTTATAATTAGTATTAGTTTTAAATTTACTATTCAGTATTTATCAATTGATTAAAAAGTTGTATTTATCATAACTGTTTTGTATTAGTTATTTTTGAACCCACTCACACACGCAAGCATATGTATTAGGGTGGCCCTTAAAAATGAAAGTTATTTTTTTTTTCGGGACGACTCCATATATTGTTTCTTATAGTAAAAAATAAATTAGTGAAAGTTTGAACAAGAAATTCTTTCCCGAGGAGCAGAGGAGTTGAAATTTTCATGAGGGGAAATGTTTGTACTTAAATCATACTCATTTGTAAATCTACTTAATTTTAATATTTATCATAAGAATTCATAGAATAGTTTTTAATTATTATTTCCAGATTATTTCATCTTCATTAAATATACACAGATTATGATTAAATTTTAACCATGACGCATAAAATGCTATCATAAAAATCTAGCAAATCAAATTCAACATACACTTGTTTTTATTAATTTTACACATAATTTTTTTTAATATACTAACTTTTTTTTATATTTATAATGATAAGATTTTATATAAACATAAAACAATCTGTGTATAAGCTCAACTATTTTATAAATAAAAACTAAACTAAAATTATATTAGTATTCTTTATCGAAATCTATATTATATACAAATAATTTAAAAGCATTATGTGTTTTAAAATTATATTTTTTGTCTAAAACAATGAAATTATTATTCTGTTATCGTAAATGATTGACTATTCTTATCAGGTAGCTTTGAGGGATATGGGTTACTTCAGTATTGTAAATAAAATAACGGCTCAGAATCTAAAACCTGAAATTCTGTGTTATTAGCTTCTTAAATCTCGATATCTAGAAACTTGTTCGTTAGTAATATCAAAAATTATCGAAAAAATATTATACTTTAGTTTTGGTACAAATTACGATTCCTATTTCTTACTACCTGAGGATGGTAGAAATTACATATTCTTATTTTAGGGCAAATTGCAATCGCATTTCAAACATTTTGGTGCATATTACACAGACTATCAGGGATTGAAATCGATTTCAGATATCGATAAAAATCGTTAAAAATCTTTTGTAAAATCAAAATCAATATCAAAATCGTTAATGGTTGGTAATGATTTTCAAGATTTATATTAAAATTGAAAAAAGTTAAAATCGATACTTTATATCAAAATCAAAATCATTTTAATAATTAATACGATTTTAAATCAAATTAATTAATAATTCAATAGCCAACAGGTCTATTTATATTGTCAATTCGTAGACATTTCCATATTTGGTAATAATATTGATTATACATAATAATAAATAACTAATACCTATTTTGTTTTGTTAGAATATTTATAATAAGGAATCAGTTCGACGAGCGATTGTTGTTTATATACACACGATTTTTTTATTAAAATGTACATTATATAGCAGGGGTGGCCAAATTGCGTCTCGCGAGCCGCATGCGGCTCGCGGTCTTATTTTCAAAAACCAAAATATTTAAATTTTTTTGTATACATTTATAAAAAAAAAAATGTTATTGCATAAATACGAGGCTATAGTGTACAGATTAATAAACAAAAAAAAAATAATTATTTATATGAATAATAAATTAAAAAATTAAACATCAAGTTAAATTTGTTTGCGTGGTATTTTTTTCATGTCCACTTTTTTAGTAAACTTCTTAAGATCTGGTTGAATTGATGTAAGAGTTGTTCTTAGTAATTCTGTGTGATGATCATTAGTCAAATTTTAACGATATTTTGACTTAATTATTTATATATATATATATGTTTATCAACTGTTAGCTTTCTTAATTACTTTTGTAGTATAGAAGTACCGATTAGATAATTTGACTCTTAATATAATCTTATTAATACATGTGGCTCGTGTACATAGACATGTTGGCCACCCCTGTTATATAGACATTTTGTAGTGTATTATTATGGATACGATATTAATTTAAAATACTCCATTGGCTATCACCCGTGAATAATACTTTTAACCAATAATATACAATTAAATAACCTAAAATAGTTACGATACATACCTGGGATGTATGCATGTATTCATAAGTAATTTACTTCATTGGCTTCTATGAGTGATTTATTAATTTTTATCGTGATATCCAAGATATGTGTAAGAGCGCTGAAAAACAAATGAAAAATAGGATATGTGTTATTTTAAAGATGATTATTAGATCGTAGAAAGTATATGCAAGCACGTAACCAGACATATTTCTATAAGAGGGCCAACATTTTTTGGTCTCTTTTTGTAGTTGTGTTTATCAAATCGCTCAGTTCCAGAACAACACCTGCTGTCTGGCCATGGCCCATTTTGCGGTAGATCCGTCGACAGGGGTGCTTCAAAAATTTCTCGACGATCGAGTTATCTTCCTCTGCGTTCACGATAGCTGTAGATTTAATCGCGCACAGTTCTGTCACGCGCTCGTCAACTTCGCCTTCAACTGGCTGATATCGACGGTGCCAAACTTTCATGCATTCTGCAAAAGAAACAAAAATAATAATGGTCAGTTTAATTGGTATAAAAACTTTGAGCACGTGCGGTCACAACTATGTGTACTTACTGATGCAGCCTACAACCTTTGACCATGACTACTTCAACTGTTTGTATTTACAACATTTGTGGGTTCACTTCAATGTTCTTACCAAAACGTGTTCGCATGGATTTCTATAAATGAAAACACGAAAAGGGTGTACTGTTAGATATTAAATAACTACTATGGTTCATTATGATTACAATATAAAGTACCTAAACATAACTGAGCATATCCTTGCGAACGCAGTAGTTGTATTCATTTTAAATTATTTTTTTCGTTAAAGAATGGCAAAATCAATTTAATATAAAATTATAATTGCTTGGTATTCCTATCAGAAATACGATTATTTTAAGTTTTCTATAAGAAGTAGAACTTATAGAAAACGAAAAATAAAATAATTACTAGTCCAGTACTATTATCTAGTCGGATGAAAATATATAGTAATCATACGGATTTGTTATTCAATATTATACAACTAAAAATAGTAGAAAAATCCATTTTATAAAATTTTGCCGACGTGCGACGGCCTACCCTATTTTCTATTATGTGACTTTTTTGTGCGGTGTTATGTAAGACTGTTTGTATATCTATTGTGACTTTGACTCGAATAATCGCTTAGTTATTTTTTTCATATTTATAATTATTTATTTCTAAGAACAAAATATTGTTAAGTTTCTATTTTAAATTAATATAAAAAAAAATGAGATGATCTCAACTTATATTTGGAATTACATTAAATGTATTGTATTGACTAAATTTTAGTCAATACAATATAAAAAAGTAATTTAAAGTCTGATTAAAATATTTGAAAATTATTAAGTAGTTACTTAAAAGCATTTGATTTACATAATTATTACTATATATTTATATATATATATATGTTTATGTTTAAATATTGTTATATTTTATTATTATTTATTTTTAAGTATGAAATTTGTTAACTTTTTGTTTTTTACATAGGTCTAGAAAAAAAAATTATAAGCTATTATAAACATACATTTTTTAATAAGCCATTTGAAAATATTTGTATTGTTGTTTTTATCAAAACAATTTAAATCATAAAATGTTCTATAGTAGAGCGAAGTAAAATGTAAGTAAGGAGATGCTTTTAATAGTTTTTAGGATATGATAAAATGTACATATAATAACAATATATTTTAAATTATAACAATAGCTCTCATTTCTAAACTATTTGAACAAATACAGCTTTGAAAACGTAGTATTATAGCTAAAAATATGAAGTTTAAAGCACTTACCCCACATTTAAATAACAGAGGTATTAGTATTTTTAAACATTCTATTTTGCGCTTACCTCCTTGTCAAGGGGCCAGTGCAAAATTTTTTTTTTTTAATTTTCAAGCGTAAAAATATTTTTAAAATATTTAAATATTTAAAATATAACACTTCCATCTCTATACATTGCAATGATCATCATATTTTTAAATTATTTATTTCAAGACAAATTAACAGTTTAAGTAGAATTATTCAAAATTGTGTCGCAGTTACCTCCCTTCACTTTATAATATAAAGTAATATATTAATTTATGGAAATTTAAAATTTATCAAAAAAGTACAATGAATGAATAGAATAAATAAAAATAAGTGAAATTT